TTGTGTGTGTGTTTGTTTCCACCTATCAAAGATTTTATAAGCAGAAAACAAAGAAGAAAACCTCTATGCCTTTTTTCAAATTTTTCTAAAACATTTTTTTTCTTTATTGATTTTAGAAAGCGAGGAAGGGAGAGGGAAAGAGAGAGAAAAACATGCATGAGAGAGAACATCAATTGGCTGCCTCCTGAAAGCACTCCCACTCAGGCCCACACCCTGGGCATGTGTCCTGACCAGGTGACTTCTTGGTGCATGGACTGACACACTCAACTAGAGTCACACTGGCTGGGCAAGTTTTGTTTTTTTTTTTTTTTAAATACAAAACTTGGATGGACATAGAGTATATTAAATTAAAATTTTATTTACAATCCTTAGATTTATTACATTATTTTTATATTGGAGAAACATTATTTCTATATATTATTTAGCACAGGTTTGGAATTTATGGTCATGGTACTTCTGCTCCTCCTCCTCGCTTGTCCTCCTCTTTATCTTTTAGTTTTTCAATATAAGAAAGAACATCTTTACTGCAGCCATGATTCCTGTGGTTCTGTACCTGCTTAGCTACACATTATATTCCAAGCCCATCCCCGCTTTGTTTCAATATTTTATTATAGATGGCATTGTAACTATAACCAAGCAGCTCATATTCTGTAGCTTTTTTTTTCTTTTTTCTTCAGGTTATTGTCCAACGTCTGGACTAGATAACATTTTTTAAATTGAAATTTATTGGGGTGACTTGAGTTAATAAAATTCTATAGGTTTCAGGTGTACAATTCTAGAATACAGAATCTGTATATTGTATTATATGTTCACCAACCAAATCAAGTATCTTTCTATCACCATTTGTACCCCCCTGCCCTCCTCCACCTCCCATACTCCGTTTCCCTCTCGCAATCACCATACTGTTGAAGATGTATATGAGTTGTTTTTGTTTTGGTTTGTTTTTTGTTTTTGCTTAATCCTTTCACCTTTTTCACCCAGCCCAGCAACCCTCCTCCCTCTCACAGCTCAGTCGGTTCTCTATCTATGAGTCTGTTTCTCTTTTGTTTGTTGTTCATTTAGTTTGTTCATTAGATTCCATATGAGTGAAATCATACAGTACTTGTTTTTCTCTGACTGGTTTATTTCACTTAGACTAGATAATTTTTTTTTTTTAATCCTCACTCAACATTTTTCCATTTTTTGTTCAGATAGAGTGGGAGGGAGAGAGAGAGAGAAACATCGATTGGTTGCCCTCCATATGTGCCCTGACCAGGGATTGAACCCACAACCCAGTTATGTGCCCTGACTGGAAATTGAACTGGAAACCCCTCACTGCACAGAACAAGGCTCAGCCAACTAACTTTCAAGAAAGTCACCTCTGGAGTCTCTCTGAGTGGTCTCCAGATATGGGGAAAGCTGATATGAAACTATAGTAAGTGGGTGATTAGCTTCAACAGCGGCAGGCAAAGTTGCAAAGTAAGTGACATTTTGCAACTTTCTTTCCTTTCTAGTCATGACTGAGTACTATGTAAAATAACAGATATTTTGTATATAATGAATAGGTGTCAGATTACATTACAAAACTAAACGTGTGCTCATTCCATTTGTTTCCCTCTTGAATCATAGTTATCTGTGAGAAATGTTTCAAAATTAGAAAAAAGATTGTTCTTTAATAGAAGTGCGTGACAAAGCACTGCAAGGGGCAAGCAACTAACTGCCTCTCCCCATGCCCCACTGTTATATTCCTTCCCCACGTTCTATGATTCTTGGCCCTCTTTCTGTAAGATTCCATCAAAAAACTGCCCAAGGGAGTCATGACATTGGTCACATATTTTTTTAATCATCAGTTCTCCTAAGATCCACTAATGTACAGAACATGCTGAATTCAGTTATGAAGAATGCACCCAAACCAGTTCTCTTTTTTGTTGTTGTTTTTAATCCTCACCCAAGGACATTTTCCCATTTTTGTTCAGATAGAAGGGGGGGGGGGGGGGGGACGACGACATTGATGTGTAAGAGACACATCGAGCGGCTGCCTCCCACACGACCCCAACCAGGGCCGCGGACAAACCACAGTCAAGGCACATGCAGTTAGCCGAACCGAACCTGGATCTCTCTGGACCACGCCGACACTCTAACCGCTGAGCCAAACCAATCGGGGCCCAAACCAGTTCTTTAAAGTTAGAGAAATTCTGGGACATATATTGTATTCAAGATTCATAAGTTACTGTATTATAGTCTCTATTTAGATTTATTTTTAATACATTTTCTTGTTATTTATTGAATTTATTGGGGTGACACTAGTTAACAAAAGTATTCAGGTTTCAGGTGTCAGGTGCACAGTTCTACAATCCATCATCCGTCGAACACCACATCACCATTTATTCCCTTCCCCCTGGCCCCCTCCCTCCTCCCCTTTACCTACCCCACCCTGCCATCACCATCACTGTTTCTTCCAGACCCTACTTGGTTTTCATCCTGACTGGTGGCTCTTCCTATACTAGAGCTATTTCTACACTTCCTTAGTCTCTGAGAAAGCAGAGCTCAATTGAGGGGGAGGGGGGGTCTTGGTTAAATTTGAAAAAAAATGTGTTTTTATTGATTTTTTTTTTTTAGAGAGGCAAGGGAGAGGGAGAGAGAAATGTCAATGTGAGAGAGACACACGGATTGTCTGAATCTTGCACGCCCCCTACTGGGGATCAAGCCAGGAACCCCGGCAGGTGCCCTGACCTGAAATCGAACTGGGACCCCTCAGTCCATGGGATGATGCTCCATCCACTGAGCCACACCTGCCGGGCTTAGGTAAATTTGTATTTTCTACTTGAAACCACTCTTCTGAGGCTGCCTAGGATCCTCTTTTTCAACCTCAGGCAAATGAACCAGCAAAAACTGAAATTCCGAAAGGGCCTTCTACATGTAAGGAACCGAGAGAATGTCGGTCCTGCAGGAAGGCAAGTTGTGTTGTGGAAATAGACAGAGAAGCCGAAGTTGTCCGGAAACGAACTGCGACCCACTCTGTCCCCAAACGCTCGAACACCAAGTCACGTCCCAATCAGTCTAGAGCAGGAGGCCCGGGCCGTGCACAGAGCAGGAGGCCCGGGCCGCGCACAGGGCAGGAGGCCCGGGCCGCGCACAGGGCAGGAGGCCCGGGCCGCGCACAGGGCAGGAGGCCCGGGCCGTGCACAGAGCAGCCGGCCGCGCACAGGGCAGGAGGCCCGGGCCGTGCACAGAGCAGCCGGCCGCGCACAGGGCAGGAGGCCCGGGCCGTGCACAGAGCAGCCGGCCGTGCACAGAGCAGGAGGCCCGGGCCGTGCACAGAGCAGTCGGCCGTGCACAGGGCAGGAGGCCCGGGCCGCGCACAGGGCAGGAGGCCCGGGCCGCGCACAGGGCAGGAGGCCCGGGCCGCGCACAGGGCAGGAGGCCCGGGCCGTGCACAGAGCAGCCGGCCGCGCACAGGGCAGGAGGCCCGGGCCGTGCACAGAGCAGCCGGCCGCGCACAGGGCAGGAGGCCCGGGCCGTGCACAGAGCAGCCGGCCGTGCACAGAGCAGGAGGCCCGGGCCGTGCACAGAGCAGTCGGCCGTGCACAGGGCAGGAGGCCCGGGCCGCGCACAGGGCAGGAGGCCCGGGCCGCGCACAGGGCAGGAGGCCCGGGCCGCGCACAGGGCAGGAGGCCCGGGCCGCGCACAGGGCAGGAGGCCCGGGCCGTGCACAGAGCAGCCGGCCGCGCACAGGGCAGGAGGCCCGGGCCGTGCACAGAGCAGCCGGCCGCGCACAGGGCAGGAGGCCCGGGCCGTGCACAGAGCAGCCGGCCGTGCACAGAGCAGGAGGCCCGGGCCGTGCACAGAGCAGCCGGCCGAGCACAGAGCAGGAGGCCCGGGCCGTGCACAGAGCAGCCGGCCGTGCACAGGGCAGGAGGCCCGGAGCGCTCGCCAGGCCTGTCGCCACAGGTGCCCCCGCGGGTTCCGGAATCGGGGTTCCTGGTGCCCCTTGTGGTCGTTCTTCCCGTTTCCCCAGGGAGCCGGACACTCAACAACCTGGAAACAATGCTCGAGGGCGCCGAGGTGGCTGATCGCCGAGCAGCAATGACGTGTTTTTGGACACACGTGTGTATAACGACAACAACACTCGCGAATCCCTCCGCGACCGTGCGCTGCGAACACCGGCCGCGGACGGGAAACAACACGTCCGCTCCCTCAGGGGATGGCTGAAGGGAACACCATGGTGACACTCAGGGTGTGACCGCAGCGGTTCTTCACCCCCGCGCGGAACCGAGCGGCTGAAACGTGTCCCTCTCGTCCCGAAGTCATTTCCTCCGCAGCGCCGGGGCCGGAAACCCCACGGAGGACAGCAAACTCTCCCACGGTCTTGCGTGGACAGTCATGGTTTCCTGGGGGATCATTTGAACGAACTTGCCCCTGAAGTGTTTCGCGGAGGAATGAGGCCCGAGCGCCCCTCCCCCAGCACACTTTGCCAGGGAAGCGGACGGACTCCGGTGCCCCCGGGCGGCCCGCAGCGCTTTCCCGACGCGGCCTCTGGCCTGGCGCCTCCTCGGCCGCCAGGCTTCACCCGACGGGACTCCCGCTCGGGGGCGACGGCGGGGAAGGCGCTTCTGAGGAAAAAACATCATTTCAGAATGTTTAAAGCCCTTTCCTTTTACAGATTAGAAAAATTACAGAGATTCTGAATTTTCTTCTAGATTCTGACGGAGGGAAGAAAAGAGTAAGACCAGCTACAGTCCTGCTTTAGCAAGAGGCGCTGAAATTCGGCAACGTAACGGCCGCAGGCTCTGGGTGCTGGGGCGTCCGGTGGGCGTGGCCTGGGAGGGGCGGGGCTTGGGCGGGGCGGTGGAGGGGCGTGTTCGGGGCGGGGCCGGCTGTAAAGATGAGGCTGAAATCCGGCCTTGTGGAGCGGGTCGGGGGCGTGGCCGGGGCGGCCGTGGGATGAGGCGGAGCCTCTTCTCGCCGCTTAAAAGGCGCGCATGGCAGGCTCTTCCGACAGATCCCTGCAGTTCGCTGCCATGTCGCTCGCGCGCCTCATGCCGGGGCTTGCTGAGCTCGGGGAGCCAGCGCCCCCCTCACAGACTCCTGAAGACCCTGATTCCCAAGCCCCCAGCAGAAAGCGGCCTCGTCTCGAGGAGCCTGGTGGTGCCTCTGAGGCGGCGTGGAGGCTGCCTTTGGTGCCTCGCTTGTCTGAGGTGGAGAAAGAGTGGGCGCTGCCGCCCAGACCCTTCAGGGCGCTGCTTGCTTCAGCTGACGTGGTTTTCGAGAACTCCACAGGCTCGCGTGTGGAGAAGTCAGCCGGGGGGAAGCAGACGAGAAAGCCGGAATGCCAGAATAGCAAATTCGAGATGAATGGTTGTTTGCAGTCTCCCCCCTCGCAAAGTGTTGATTCTGGTTGGAGGGCTTCCAGAAGGTTCTCTGAACCAGGACCCCACGACAAGGAGGGTTTCGGTGTGCCCCACTGGGACAGAGCCCAAGCTGAGGCTGGTCAGCTTCGGCCCAGCCCCTCCACACACGACATGCAGGGACTTAAAAACGAGCATGGACAACAGTACTTAGTCCAAGGGAGAGACAACAGTCAGAAAGACAATAGTCACAGAAAACAGACAGAAAATCTATTGTTGGACGTTACCTTTTACCAGGAAACGAAACCAACATGTCCTGAAATTAAGAACAGATGTAAAATTGACAGTGTTACACCATCAAATAAGCAAGAAAATAATATTTCAGCATCTATGCTAAAAATATCAAAATCTCAAAACCAGCCCGGCATGAAAATGGCCGAACCCAGCTTTTCTAGAGATAGCAGCACAATACATAACCCCGAGTTTCCAGCTGATTTAAAGTGCAAACTGGCCCCTGTCTATTTAAAGGAAAGAGCAAAGAAAAGGAATGACAAAAATGAGACATATGTTACAGATTTCACAAACATTTACGGGTCCCAAAATAGACTGAATGTTAAGCATAAGTTCCTGGATGATAAAAAGTTTGTGGATGCAGAAAATATGTTTTCTGAATGTTATGAAAGTAAGGACCAGTCAGTCAGCAACCAAAGTATTTGTGTGGGGGAAAAAAACTTGATCAGTTTACCCCACTATAACCACAGTATCAAATCTAATGTAAGAGATCCTGATAAGAATTTTACCATAAACCTACAAAATGCAAATTGGAAAGAAGCAGAAACATGCCTGAACAGTTACATATCTACCAGATCAGAAAAATGTCAAAGCAAGAACTATAATATTGGACATATTTTGAGAGAAAATAGGGAAAACAGCTGGATTCTGCATAATTACCAAACGAAATGTGGAAACATGAAAAAAACTGGAGGAAAATGGAATTTGCTGCAATCAGCAGAAATAGCTCTTTTAAGCACAGACAATTATTGTAATACCAAAGCCATGAATACACGTGAAAAACAGTCAAAGCTTCTCATGATAGGAGCACTGGGTAGACAAAAAGCTTTAATAAATTTTTTTTGGCTCAGTGGTAAAGGAGACAACAATAATATGCTACAGGTGAAATATTATACTTCAGAAAAAGACTTTAATTTAAGCAATATTTTTGAGAATTTCATTACAGAAAGGTTTTATTTCCATAAAAGTATTTCAGCAAATGAAGATGATAATAGTATTTTAGCCTGGCATGAAATGCTGAAGTGTCTAAAGCAAACTGATGTTCAAAATCTAATAATTAGGAATATAAATGTCAATAAGAGGAATAACATTTTAAGCATATATTTACAAACCAGTGCTTCAAAACCTCTAAATATCATATTGAAAGCCAACATAGCTTCTTTGCTCAATAACTTTGACTGTTTAACCGGAACTGAAAATGATTCTAAATATGAAGAGGGATGCATTTTCAAATGGATAATGTGTTTGAATTATCCAAAAAATATTATAGTGAAAACTTGTATTGTATATCTAGGAAGGACTTTAACTTTTTCAATACCATTAGGAGATCATATGAAATCTTTGTTAGAGAAGAAAAAGCTATTTAAAACTGAACAAGTTTTTGAAGAGTTTAAGAAAAATCCCATCAATTCCTTCAGTATGACAACTAAAAATATGGATTTAATGGGCTTTGATGACATAGATGAAATTTCTTTGACAAAAGAAATTAGTTACAAGAGTAAAACTTCTAAACAAGTCATGAATGTGAAAAATCGGGCTCACTATAGTATGAATACAGTGAAAATACATGTTAAATCTCTTCCTCAATTCATACAGAAAACCCATGTTTATATTAATGAAAAATTTTCTGAAATAAATATGCACAACAGAAAGTTAGATACTGAAAGAAAACGGCAGCATAACAAGACTAGTAGCTTTAATTTTAAGTTCATTTTGGAGAATTTCTTCAATGTTAGGCAACAAGCTATACCAATAACCCGCTACACAAAACACACTGAACAAACCAATCCCATGATTATAACTCAGGTGCAAAATGTTGGGAGCTTGCAAAGAAGTGAAATTGAAGCAAAAAAACATGACTTAATTTTGAAGGAGGAAGAAAAAGTCACAGCACAAAGTTTAACATACAGTTGCCAAGTTCATAAAGATATTAAGATTGCAAAGAAAGAGAAAAATAGTTTTTGTTCAATGGATGACATGTTTTCTGTGCAACTAGTTTCCTTAATGAGTAAGAAAGTAAATGTAGAAGAAACTAAATATACTAATCAAAATAATCTAGCTGACAGAAATGAATATGAGAGTATTATGCAAGAACGTGAGTTAGCTAATTCAAAGCATTTTTATCCAAAGAATGACTCTACAGAATGTATTAAACATCATTTTGAAAGTGATCTGAGTGTAGGGAACAATGAATGTTTTCAGGATTTAACTGCCAAGTGTTTATCAACAGAAGCTATGACAATAGCCAAAGATTTTGAGATGAAGAGTAAATTTGATTTAGTACTTGAAGAACTTCATATGTTTCATGAAATCAGTAAGGAAAATGAAATTCTAAGCACCGTGGAAACAAACAATGCGCAAGAAAATTACTTTGGAGAAAATAATGATGTCGAGGAGGTAAAAACGAAGATAAAAAAAGATTTGAAAATGGGTACAGTCAACAAAATGTGTGCCTCTTCTTTGCTCTGTGATACTATAGCAGGTTCTAATAGGAATAAAAGACATCAACATTTATTTAAATGGGAAACAATACCCAGAAATAGAGAACAGGAAGTTCCTAACGACTATTCCTGTTTAAGAATACCAGAGGAAGACTTACTCTGTTCTACTTCTGAGGAAGGTATATAATTAGTTTTAAAATGTTTTTTATGATAGAAAAAAAATTGGTGCTTTTTTTTCTGTGTTGGCCAAATATATAATTTTGGCCAAAAGGAGAGAGAGTGTAAGTAATGTTTATTGATGCACTTTATTTTCTATCAAGAACTGTCCAAATATTAAATAATATACTGTAGTTGAAGATAAGTGATAAAAATTTTAAAAGGAGCTTTAAGCATTCTGCTTCATTTATCTAAATATTAGAAGCCAATGGGAGGAATATTTTTGAAGAAGTAATTTTGTAGTACTGACATTTTATATAAAAGTTACTTTTTGCTATAATATATTGATCTTTATTTTCAGATTATGAGAAACCTATACCCCAAAGACCTGCTTTTTTCTCTGATGAATTTAAGGAAGAAAAAATTAATTATTTAATAAAAAGAGGTAAGATTTTTGGTTATTTTCTAGAATACCTTCTAAGGTGATTATTGCATTGTTGTATTTTTAGTATGAGGAAAATATACTTACGTTGTTAGAAAATAAATACAAAGATTTAGGACTTTTGTACACATTAATGATTTACTGAAACAAATTCTAATAGTTAAAAATTGGCTAAAAATTAAAATGCCATTTTAGAACATTAGATTTAGAATATTATTGGGAATTGTGCTCTTCAAAACTGTTTAAATATTTACAGGGATGCATTGCAATAACTATGTAACAAGACAGGTGTTATGCATGTATAGTACACAAAAAAAGGCGTTTATTTAAGTTGGATTTCCATTGAGGAGATTACTCCCGGTTATATAATTATTACCAATAATTCTCTATGCTTTAAGTTTATGTAGACATTTTACTTAGTAATTAAAATTTTTGTATCATTTAGGTATATTAACATGATTTATGACTATGGAATTTAAAATTTTGATTACTATTAAACACATAAAACTAATGACAGGTTAAAGAACTAACCTCATCATTTGCCTAAGAGGTCTGCAATATCAATAAAACACAGCAAGTCTAACATCTCTCTATTCTAACATGTAACAGTGCAATGGAATGAGACAGAGGTAGGAATGACATTAGGGTATTGTTTTCTGAATGATTAAAATTCCATTTGGTTAGAAACTGCTGATATTACACAACAAGACCAGATGTAGAAAGAATAATGATATAAGTAAAATATATTTACCCAAACACCTTCAGTCATTCATCACTTCTCGAAACATTTTCCTTACTTTTCATCAGTAGAATGCTGAGTCTGGTACCTTTATTCAGTGACTTCAGTAATGCATCTTTTTCTTTTCTCTTAGTTTACGATAAAGTAACCTTAAAAATTAATCTAAGTTCTGGAAGATCAAAAGCCCACAGGTAGTCTCTTGTCCCCTGAATAAAGGGAATGATTGAGGGAACGATACTTGACGAGACTAAAAGCAGAGTGGCAGAATTAGCCTGGGAAGGACAGGAGTTACTTCGTTTATGACAAAGAAAGGAAGAACTTGGGTTAGTTTTGAGACAGAATGGAGGAAGATTAGAGAACATGCACTCGTACTTGTCAGGATTATAATTGTGATAATGAAATGGGTATATGAGGAAGATTTAATTATGTGCACAAATTATAAAATAAATGTTACATTTGGGGAAAATATATATTGTAATACTGTATTGTGCCTTCATAAGGAAAAGTGCCTTGTTATTATAAAATATGAAAAATAATGTATGAGACCAGCCAGAATTATTTAAGATTGTTTTATGATAGTTGTCTTGGATTTACTTTCAAAGATTATCCTATTTTGGGATACTTACTCTTCCTGAGTCTTGTTAAAAATCCACTGTAAAGGAATAGTTGAGAGACACTAGGAAGTGGGGATAAGACCTGTCTATGCAGAGTGGTTTTAAAGGCATTGGGAAACTCCTGACTGTGCTGAAATGTTTTTGATACTCACCCACTTGTAATCATGATGCCCTCCAATTAAAGTTTCTACCACTTATGTCTCCAGTTACATCCTGTCACTCTTTGTGTCTCTCTCCTCTTTCTGTGGAGAAGGCACATGTTTTGGAATTGAGCATGTGTTATATGCCAGCCAGCCAGTGTGCCAGGTGCTTTATATAGCATTCAGCATCTATTTTCACCTACCTTTGAATTATAAACAAATGACCTGGGTATCTTGTTAAACAGTTCTGACTCTGTTGTGGGGATGGCCCTATGATTCTGATTCCTAACAATCTCCTAGCAAATGCAGATGCTGCTAGTCTGTGGACTACACTTTGAGTTGCAAGGATTTAGAAAACAATTGAGTTAGCATTATTTCTAAAAGATGACTAATAGATTAAAAACTTTAAATTTAAACACTGATTTTTAAAATGAACAATTTCTGATAGCATCCTTGAATATTTAGAGTTGTTAAATGATACAAAGCAATGCATTAATCCAGTGCATAACAATAATAAAAGGGGTCATAATGTATTTAAAAAAGGTAGAAAATCCAAGGTGACAAAAAAGCACAGCCTCACAACCACAGCTTAATAATTGTTTAAGAGCATATGCTTTGCAAAAGGATTGCTGTTGATACAAATTGGTTTAGTGATTTCCCCCCCATTGCAAAATTATCAGAAATATATGTCATATTAGAATATGAAAGAGGAAAGTTATACTTTGGAAAAGTAACAAAAAAGATGAATTATGGCTTTGTTCTGAAATAATGATCTCTTAATGAAGAAGTACACTTAGCATAAATTGCTGATATTAATTAATTTATAATCAAATCTAGTGTATCAGACAATTCAATTATTTTGGTTTGTTTGGACATTCTCTTTTTGTTTAAAATATAAAAATAATTGAGCAATAAATGTTTTCTTATTTTTTTTTAATCCTCACTAGACATTTTTCCAGTTTTTTTGTTTAGATAGAGTGGGAGGGAGAGAGAGAGAGAGAGAGGAACATCGACATGAAAGGGACACTTCGAGTGGCTGCCACCCGCACGACCAACCAGGGCCGGGGACAAACTGCAACCGAGGTACATGCCCCTAGTGGGAACTGAACCCCGGTCTCTCTGGACTGCAGGCTGACGCTCTAACCGCTGAGCCAAACCAGCCAGCGCTGTTTTCTTATTTTTTTATAAGTAACTATGATTTTAATGTTGAATAAAGTGTCACAAACTGATCTATAGCTATATTATGTTGTTTCCTTCCTATTTACATATAGTTAAATTTGGCATTTTATTTCATTATTACATAGATACACACATATTCTGTTTGGTTAAACTTAGTAGAAATTATGCTGTTTACCTTTTATCAGATTTAAAGTTATGTTGATTATACTATTTTTATTATAATGTGCTTTTATATTAAGGTCATACTAATTCATTAAAGCTTGATGAAAGTTTGATACATTTTTAGCTTTAAATATTATGTACCCTACTGTTTATTTTTAAAAATAAAGCACTCTTAGCCCTGGCCAGTTTTGCTCAGTGGTTAGAGAGTTAGCCCGTGGTCCAGAGAGACCCGGCTTTGGTTCCTGCTAAAGGCATGTACCTCAGTTGCAGTTTGTCCCTGCCCTGGTTGGGGTTGTGTGGGTGGCAGCCAGTTGATGTGTCTCTCTCACATCGATGTTTCTCTCTCTCTATTCCTTCCTCTCTCCCTCTCGCTCTATCTGAAGATGAATGCAAAAATGTCCTCGGGTGCGGATAAAAAAAAAAGAAAAACAAAGCACTCTGAAAATTAAATAAGATTTGTATTTTATTATCAGGAATAGTTGATCCTATTTGTCTAGTTAACTGATTTAATAACAGATATATCTTCATGAAATGTTGTGAGCTGTTTTGAAAATGACGTTTGCACTTTATTATTGATAATAATCTCTATTAGAAGCCAAATATAATCATTAACAATATAGCATAGTTGTTTAACTTCTAATAAAAAAAATAGCATGGTGTTTAAAGCCACTATATCAAGTTAACTTTAAAATTTATATAGGCCCTGGCCAGGTAGCTCAGTTGGTTAGAGCATCACCAACTTTGCGGGTTCCATCCCTGGTTAGGGCACATACACGAATCAACCAATGAGTGCATAAATAAGTGAAACAACAAATTGATGTTTCTCTCTCTCTCTCTCTCTCTCTCTCTCTCTAAAATCAAAAAGTTTTAAAAATCTGTAGAGTTTTGTTAAGTCAGACTGCTTGACTTTGCATGATGATTTTATTTAGTTTGTATTTTATATTGGCCAAGTTACTTACCTTTTGTGCCAAGGATTCCACATTTTAAAAATGGAGATAGGACTACGTAACTTACCTCATTTAAAGAACTTAGCTCAGTGACTCAGTAAATGTTGCTAGTATGATTAAAATTTAGCAAACATTTTTTAATCTTAGAAACTATGAGTAATTTTTATCCCTTAAATACTTTTTATTGTCTTATATTTTTAGGTAATAATTTTTCACATGGAATTTCAAGAGTACTACCTCTTAAGACATGCAGTCGACCAATCAGAGTTGGTTTGTCAAGAAAAGTTAAGCTTAAACAACTTCATCCATATCTAAAGTAAATATGTTATGAGGACTTAAAAGAAGATATTGAACTTTAATATTTCAAAAATTTCACAACTATTAATCTTTTATTTCTTTCATTAGATAAATGCTTTTCTTTCAGCTTGGCGGTTTGAGGCTTTATTATAAAGTTTTGAGAAGGGTTTATGTGTGTGTGTGTGTGTGTGTGTGAATTATCTAGTTATTTTTAAATGTTATATAATTTATTGATGTTTTATGTCATTAACAATACACACATTAAAAATTTTTATGACCTTATAAAACCTGTCATCTTATTTTTCATAATAGATGCATATATAAAAATATATATATTGGTATATATATATATATATATGTATATATATTGGTATATATATATATATGGTCTTTATAGATTTCTCAAAAAGATCTGTGACTCTTAAAAAAGCAATGAATTTTACCTGCTTCTGTTTAAAAAGCCAGTATCCCTCTGCTTCATAGCTTAGTTGTTTGAAGTGTAGTGAAATCTTTGCTGTTTACCAGGTGCAATGTTTTAATTCCTTACAGAGTGGGGGTAGTTGTGCAAAAGCTAACATTGAAATTTTGAAACAGCAGCAGAGTAAGTGAACTGTAATTGTTGTTCACTGTTGGAGGTTAAAAAGGAAAATCCCTGCTATGTAATTATTGTGAACACTTTGCTTCGTGGTCACTGTAACATTTTGGTGGGTTGGGACAGCGAGGAAAAGTAACAATAGTCCACGTGTCCCTGGCATCTATTCAGAGCAGTGTGAAAAATGAAGTTCTCTTTTTTTAATTTATTTTTTTATCCTCACCTGAGGACATTTTTTTTTTTTTTTTGCATTTATTTTTAGATAGAGTGGGACGGAGAGAGGGAGAAACATCGATGGGGGAGAGAGACACATCAAGAGGTCGCCACCCACATGACCCCAACCAGGGCCAGGGACAAACTGCAACCGAGCTGTGTGCCCTTAGCGGGAACCGATCCCAGGCCTCTTAGTTCCGCGTGCTGACGCTCTAACTGCTGAGCCAAACCGACCAGGGCCTCTTTTTTTCTTCTTTCTTTATCCTTCACCCAAGGATACTTTTCTATTTAGCATCAGATAGAGTGGGAGGGAGGGAGAGAGAGAGAAGCATCGATGTGATAGAGCTACATCCCAGAATTGAATCTGTGTCTCATTGGTCTGAGGGCTGACTCTCTAATCGCTGAGCCATACTGGCCAGGGCTGTAATGCTCTTTTGTAAGAAATGTTTTATGATTTAAAAAAATAAATTTAGTGAACTTATTTTTAGTGGTCATTTTTCGAGTGGCTGAATTGCCCAACCTACCCCTAAATCAAATACTGAGTTTTAATTTCAGCTTCTCTGTTGAACTAAATGCATCTCTTCCTTGACTTAGACAAACAAACAAAGAAACAAACAAAAAACTTGGCAAATTCAATTCTGGTGATTAAAAAAAAAAACTTTATTAGCCATTGAACTCCTCCTCCCTACTCTCACCCCTCTCCTTCCTTCCCCACACTATGGTCTGTGGCTATTGGTTACGCATATAGGCATATAAGTTCTTTGATTATCTCTTCCCATTCCCCCACCCCCTTCCCTCTGAGGTTTGTCATTCTGTTCCCTACTCCCATGAGTTCTGATGATTTTTTAAAAAAGGTTTTAATTGATTTTTAGAGAGAGAGGAAGAGAGAAGGAGAGAGAGAGGGAGAGAAACATCAATTCCAGAGTAAAACCCAGGCCTATGCCCTGATCAGGAATCCAACTGTCAACCTTTTAGCGCATGGGACAATGCCAACCAACTAAACCACAGCGGCCAGGGCAGTTCTGGTGATTTGATGGCTTAAAAGTCCATTGCTTGGGGAAAAATTCCAAAATACACATTCAGGCTTATGATATGCTGGGGATTTTGCTTGTTTTTGCAAATGCTTGCACCTACTTTGCAATAGTTTTCTATGTTAATAATTGTGAAGAACCAAGGTGTGGAACAGTAGCAAAAGCTAAGTGATGGTATAAATACAAGCCGGAAGCCTAATGTAGCAAGTTTTATTGATTAGAATAATACTTGGTTATGTAAATGACTGATGCTAAAAATTCTGATTATTTATTATTAGACAACAGACTTAAACTATCAGCCTGCCTATTGTTATTCTTGTTTTTCCATTGTATGCAAGTTGAAAAAACAGATATACCATTTCTCTGTTGTATGTTGGATTATATAGAAAATACTTATGAAAAATTAAAAAAAAGATGAAAAAGTTTTGTGTAGTATCTTGACATTTGTATTAATAGTTTAAAATTCACTTCCAAATTAAACTCCCATGGTGCTAGCAACAAAAAAAAAAAGGTAATGAATCACTGTTTTAATTCACTTCTCTTATTTTTCAAGTGAAATAAAATAGAAGTGCAAAAAGGATGGGTAAGTTTGCCAAAAATCACAAAGTTAGTATCAGGATTGGGATAGAGACAATCTCCACAGCATTCTTTCCCACTTTTCTCTGCATTCAATTTCTGGTTTCTCTTTCCTCTTCCAGAGTCTACCTTTGGCTCCAGAGCAGAACTGTGATCATTTAGTTAATATCTACTATTAACTTATTCACTCGTAGGACAAACATATTTTAATACCCCTATTTTTGTGCTTAGTGATAGAATGCAGAAGAGCTGTCCTCATTAAGCTTACTTTCTATGCTTGAGATTGGAGGAGAAATGTAGGACATACATAATTTAGAGCAACCATTAGTAGAATAATACTTTACAAAATACTAGACCTAAAATGGGCTACTTAGCAAAAACTAAGCAAAGAAGGAAGTGTTAAGAAAACATAAAAAAACAGGAAGCATATAATGACAGAAAGAAGATGAAATGTCTCAATTAACAAAATATGATTGGATTAAACTATCCTATTATAAACCAAGATTCTTCAGACTCAGACACACTAAAAACCATCTCAAATTCAGCCATATTTATTAATTTCTGTGCCCCACCATGTATTTTCTAACTTTATTATCCTGCTCTAATTTCTTTTTCTTCTCACTGAACTCTTGAACTTTTCACACACTGTTTAATTTATGCTTTACAAGAATGCAAGTCCTTGAAGGTAGGATTCTTTAAAAAAATTTTTTTTTCTTTATTGGTTTTTAGAGAGCGATTTGGAAGGGAGAGGGAGAGAGAGATAGAATCATCGATGAGAGAACATCAGTTGGCTGCCTCCTGCATTCTCCTCCCTGGGAATCGGGCCCACAACCTGAGCATGTGCCCCAAATGGGAATCAAACCAGCCATCTCTTGGTGCATGGGTCGACGCTCAACCACTGAGCTACACCGGCTAGCTACACCACCCCCACTAATATATCCCGAGTGCCTGGAATAGTACCTGCCCCATGTAAGTACCTATACAATATTATTTGAATGAGTGAATGAATAAATTTCTATGCCTGTGCATAATAGTTATGTCTTTTTGAATTCTTAATAGCTTTATGACCTTGGGCAATTCCTCATTTCTAAAGAGGATAATACACATTATGTATTATAACACCTCATACACAGTAACTACTCAACAATACATAATAATTTACTAGTACATAGTATCTGCTCAATAATTAATAACTTTTCAGAATTTTTGACGTTTTCTTTAAAAATTTCCCCCTGAATCTTGAATCATTTAGTTTCAGGAATATCCCTATTCCTTTGAGTCTTTTGACAAGGTTCCTTTAAGTTTCTTTTTTTTTCCTGCAAGGGTCTTCATCTTTCTCTTCCTTTTAAAAATTATTATTATAAGCTCCATGTATTTTTCTTTTATTTTTATACAAGGCAAATCTCATCACTGTTTCTTTGTGTGAATATTGAATTCATATGTATTTCTTGAGGGAAAATTTATGTGTTTTGTCTTATTTCTAATTTTCAGGGAGCTTTTATAGATGCTGTCATCTTTTTTCTAATACATAATATATAAACCTACAAGCTCTATTGGTTCTTTCATACTCTGAACTGTGTGATAAGTTTAAACTCCCAGCCCATACTGTGCTGCTTACAGTGGTTTTCCATGCTACTGCCCATTACTGTTTTGCTCTTACAGAACTTTCCTGATAAAAAATTTGGGGAAATATTAACCTCTCCCAATGCAAAACTTGTTCCTGCAAGTGTCCTTACTCAAGTACCCCTTCCCCCAGGACCTCCTTCCCTAACACGCACGCGTACACACACAGACATCACCTTCCTCCTCCTGCCTAGTTCTGTTAGTTCTTATCTCTGGAATTTGAAAATTGGAGGATAGGAGGAAGGTAACTCTTAGGTTTTTGGGTCTCCGTAGCCAGGTTTGCAGAGGCTGCATTGGGGGCTGCGGTGGAATACATTTTAATTGAAACCCATTCTCCTTCCACTTTGTTCTTTTTATCCTTGTTCTTAGAATGTAAAAGTTGAATGCTTTCAGATAAGAAGAAAAATATTCAGAGAATGAAAAGCCACTTCAAGAAATACTGGCTTTTACTAAACCTTAAAATAAATCTTGGTGTTACTTCAGTTTAAAGTAACAAGTTTTTGGATGTGTAACAGTGAGCATAAGAAGAGAAGCAGAGCCTTATATTAAATCAACTTAAAAAGTTATGTTGATAGTATGTTAGGTATGCAGGCCTGTAAGTTAATATTACCTGTTTAACCTTATTTAGTTAAGCAAAATGGAAAAAGAATGTAGTGAAGTTGCCCTTTAGTTTCTTCTAAGTTGTCACATAAAAGAATATTTATAGTGTTAGCCATCATTTTGAGAAATTTTTCTAACAACAGAGACATTACACATTTACTCAGACATATAATTTGTGGTAGAGTTTATACTATTAAGTATTATCTTTTGGGCTAAGGGGACTAAAATATAAAGATATCAGAAGAGAGTTCCAAATTATATTTCACCACTTTGTTGTAAAATATATCATTGTTTGCACATATCCTTGCCAAATATTCCTATTTCTTTTTTCTTTCTTTCTTTTTAAAATCATAGACACAAAAAAGGATAAGATAAAAAGAAAAACAGA